TCGCAGGCTAAACAACCCAGCTCCCTCAGCCTCTCCTCATAACTCATATGTTCCAGACCCCTAATCATTTTTGTTGCCCTTCGCTGGACTCTCTCCAATTTATCCACATCCTTCTGAAGTGTGGGGCCCAAAACGGACACAGTACTCCAGATGAGGCCTCACCAATGTCGAAAGAGGGGAACGATCACGTCCTCGATCTGCTCGCTATGCCCCTACTTATACATCCCAAAATGCCATTGGCCTTCTTGGCAACAAGGGCACACGCTGACTCATATCCAGCTTCTCGTCCACTGTCACCCCTAGGTCCTTTTCTGCAGAACTGCTGCCTAGACATTCGGTCCCTAGTCTGTAGCTGTGCATTGGGTTCTTCCGTCCTAAGTGCAGGACCCTGCACTTATCCTTATTGAACCTCATCAGATTTCTTTTGGCCCAATCCTCCAATTTGTCTAGGTCCTTCTGTATCCTATCCCTCCCCTCCAGCGTATCTACCACTCCTCCCAGTTTAGTATCATCCAAATTGCTGAGAGTGCAATCCACACCATCCTCCAGATCATATGAAGATATTGAACAAAACCCCCCAGGACCACCCTTGGGGCACACCACTTGATACCGCGCCAACTAGACAGGAGCCATTGATCACTACCCGTTGACCCGACAATTTACCAGCTTTCTACCCACCTTGTAGTGCATTCATCCAGCCCATACTTCCTTAACTTGCTGACAAGAATACTGTGGAGACTGTCAAAAGCTTTGCTAAAGTCAAGAAACAATACATCCACTGCTTTCCCTTCATCCACAGAACCAGTAATCCATCATAGAAGGCAATTAGATTAGTCAGGCATGACCTTCCCTTGGTGAATCCATGTGGCTGTTCCTGATCACTTTCCTCTCATGTAAGTGCTTCAGGATTGATTCTTTGAGGACCTGCTCCATGATTTTTCCAGGGACTGAAGTGAGGCTGACTGGCCTGTAGTTCCCAGGATCCTCCTTCTTCCCTTTTTTAAAGATTGGCACTACATTAGCCTTTTTCCAGTCATCCGGGACTTCCCGGTTCGCCACAGTTTTCAAAGATAATGGCCAATGGCTCTGCAATCACAGCCGCCAGTTCCTTCAGCACTCTCGGGTGCAACTCGTCGCCCCATGGACTTGTGCACGTCCAGCTTTTCTAAAAGTCCCTAACCACCTCTATCTCCACAGAGGGCTGCCATCTCTTCCCCATTTTGTGATGCCCAGCGTAGCAGTCTGGGAGCTGACCTTGTTAGTGAAAACAGAGGCAAAAAAAGCATTGAGTACATTAGCTTTTTCCACATCCTCTGTCACTAGTTTGCCTCCCTCATTCAGTAAGGGGCCCACACATTCCTTGGCTTTCTTCTTGTTGCCAACATACCTGAAGAAACCCTTCTTGTTACTCTTGACATCTCTGGCTAGCGCAGCTCCAGGTGCGATTTGGCCCTCCTGATAACATTCCTACATGCCCTAGCAATATTTTTATACTCTTCCCTGGTCATATGTCCAACCTTCCACTTCTTGTAAGCTTCTTTTTATGTTTAAGATCCGCTAAGATTTCACCATTAAGCCAAGCTGGTCGCCTGCCATATTTACTATTCTTTCGACTCATCGGGATGGTTTGTCCCTGTAACCTCAACAGGGATTCCTTGAAATAAGCCAGCTCTCCTGGACTCCTTTCCCCTTCAAGTTAGTCCCCCAGGGGATCCTGCCATCCGTTCCCTGAGGGAGTCGAAGTCTGCTTCCTGAAGTCCAGGGTCCGTATCGTGCTGCTTACCTTTCTTCCCTGTGTCAGGATCCTGAACTCAACCAACTCATGGTCACTGCCCCCAGATTCCCATCCACTTTTGCTTCCCCACTAATTCTACCCGGTTTGTGAGCAGCAGGTCAAGAAAAGCGCCCCCTAGTTGGCTCCTCGAGCACTTGCGCCAGGAAATTGTCCCCTACGCTTTCCAAAAACTTCCTGGATTGTCTATGCACCGCTGTATTGCTCTCCCAGCAGATATCAGGAAAATTAAAGTCACCCATGAGAATCAGGGCATGCGATCCAGTAGCTTCCGTGAGCTGCCGGAAGAAAGCCTCATCTACCTCATCCCCCTGGTCTGGTGGTCTATAGCAGACTCCCACCACTACATCACTCTTGTTGCACACACTTCTAAACTTAATCCAGAGACACTCAGGTTTTTCTGCAGTTTCGTACCGGAGCTCTGAGCAGTCATACTGCTCCCTTACATACAGTGCTACTCCCCCACCTTTTCTGCCCTGCCTGTCCTTCCTGAACAGTTTATAACCATCCATGACAGTACTCCAGTCATGTGAGTTATCCCACCAAGTCTCTGTTATTCCAATCACATCATAATTCCTTGACATCACCAGGACCTCCAGTTCTCCCTGCTTGTTTCCAAGGCTTTGTGCATTCGTATATAAGCACTTGAGATAACCTGCTGATCGCCCCTCATTCCCAGTATGAGGCAGGAGCCCTCCCCTCACAGACATTCCTGCCTGTGCTTCCTCCCGGTATCCCACTTTCCCACTTACCTCAGGGCTTTGGTCTCCTTCCCCCGGTGAACCTAGTTTAAAGCCCTCCTCACTAGGTTAGCCAGCCTGCTCGCGAAGATGCTCTTCCCTCTCTTCGTTAAGTGGAGCCCGTCTCTGCCTAGCACTCCTTCTTGGAACACCATCCCATGGTCGAAGAATCCAAAGCCTTCTCTCCGACACCACCTGCGTAGCCATTCGTTGACTTCCACGATTCGACGCTCCCTACCTAGGCCTTTTCCTTCCACGGGAGGATGGACGAGAACACCACTTGCACCTCCAACTCCTTTATCCTTCTTCCTAGAGCCACATAGTCCGCAGTGATCCGCTCAAGGTCATTCTTGGAGTATCATTGGTGCCCACGTGGAGAAGCAGGAAGGGGTAGCGATCCGAGGGCTTGATGAGTCTCGGCAGTCTCTCCGTCACATCGCGAATCTTAGCCCCCGGCAAGCAGCAGACTTCTCGGTTTTCCGGTCAGGGCGGCAGATAGATGACTCAGTCCCCCGGAGGAGCGAGTCTTACACCCTAAGAGCAGCAGTACTATTTAAGATAACGTACTACAAGTAAGCCTGGAAGCTTAATGACTCAAATTCCCCTTCAAACAAATGCCTACCAAGAGGTTCCCCTAAATATCAAGCAATGTATTAGGACCCATTAGTCAAACAGGAAGGATGGAATGTTCCCCATTAGGGCACCAGCTCTTTCCCCACAACATGCTTATCAGTTCTGAATGACGCCAGGCAATCATCCTGTGCATGGTCAGGGACTCTATTCTGCAGGATATGGAGAATTTTAATGTAATATTTCATGGCTGCCTTATTACAAACAGAAAGGCAGAGAGGACAGGACTATTTTGCCTAATGAATCCAGATTAGCCACCATGGCTGCAGAGGTTTTGTGGAAGCTAATTAACTGTTGAACTGAGCCATATGATAATATCTCAGATAGAAAGGATGGCATTCCACCTCTACAATTAACGTAGAGTAGAGAGCATTCTAGCCATCCAAATATTCTACTCTGTTTTAGTGCAATAGGGAGAAAAGAAACTAATGTTCAAATCTCCTGTTTTAAGGTGTTTATCTAATGTCTCCATTAGATAAACACTCCATTATCTGGGTTCCAATAGCAAGAGACAGGTCACTACAATGTAAAGCGGACTTCTGGAAAGTCATCTTCCTGGAAAAGCTGAGAGAATGGACAAGACGGAATTATTCTTAGTGGAGGCATAGATTTAACAGCATTTCCTACAGTATGTTCAAAGCATTTACAGTGGCTCTTTGTTTATTTGTACACTACCTTATCAATTCACTCATGTTCCGTATTGCATCACATATTAGGACTCCTACTTGCTGTGCTTACTGCCAGCACGCATGCTCTTCCAGGGCAGGGCTTTCTCTCTTACTTTAACTACCTGAAAGGCAACTTGACTGCATGCAGTTAGCAGATAGAGTACAATTCATTTCTTGTCTCTCTTATTAGGCTTATGGTCTGCTAGGCTGTGGAATCATTATAGTGAGTGTAGTCCTGCAGCACAGATGTCAAGAGCTTCTCCTCCTTAAAGCAAGAGACTTATTTTTCATTCATACATATTTTCATTATTAAGAAAAAATATGATTCATAAGATGTTCCCTATGGTGATGGGCAAACACCAATATTTATGCCATTTTATGTTCTAAAAATGGAAATAAAAATGAACCATCTGGTAACATTTTAAATGGAAAAGATTAAAATTAAGGATTAATAAATACTAATATTTGCCTGGAAGTCACAGCAGTGCCCTTAATTTCCCATTTTTGACATTCCTTGAACAAGCCCCTCATTTCTCTCAAGAAATGTATAGTTTTCATAGGTCCATTTCCTCTAAAGAAGGAAAACCTCATGGATATAGAGATGTTTAATCTCTTTGAAAGAGTATTGTGATCTCATAGTTCCCTACTCTCTCATGGTAATAAGGTGGTCATAGTCCTCACAGAGGTTATAACCAGTCATTTAAATCACTGCTGATCAATTCTTTTGTTCCAAAGAATATTCCTTTCACAAGATGTAGGCTGTTGGATTAATTTGCTGACTGATCAAAATCCTGCCTAAAAATCAACCATCAAATTCCCAGTGACTTGTCAGATTTTGCTTATAAAACCATGACTGACAATCACAGTGAGTCTGTAAAAGGCAATCCTGTGCTTCAGGTAATTCATATATTCTTTTGCATGAATGTGAAAGTAATATGCCTCTGTTCTGAAGCCTCTAACTTTATTTTTTACTGAGCACTGTTTTGTTCTTGGAAGCCTTGCCTTTAGAAAGGCGCGGTTACAAAAGTAATAGCACATTATATGCTTGTCAGAGAAATGGAGAATTGGATTGTTTTATTCTAAATAAAGAAATCGACCCATAAGGAGTGAAGTGACTGACAACTTAAAGACCACTTTAAAGATGGAAAATTTCAACTAGCAGCTACTCACTCGTGCCAGGCTGGTTCCAGATGGAACTTTATAAGGGACGTACTTCCTGTAAATGTGTCCAACCCTAGAACATGGAACATCAAACATGCCACCTCCACACATCCAAACCTGAAAAGGAAACAAACAGTGACAACTGAATGCCAGCAGGGAAGATAAAAATCCAGAAATCATTCTGCAATGATTCCTCTTAGTGACAGTCCTATTTCATTCTGAATAGCTAGGAATGAAAGATGAAGGAAAATCCATGTTTTGATACTTGGGGTCTCGCTACAAAAAGAGATCACATTAAAAAAGAACAATACAAACTATACTATAAAGAATAGTAGCTACTGTATCTACCAACCATGCTTTTTACAATATAAACAAGATGTCTTTATCCAAGAATTTCCAAATTTTTAATACTCCTAATTAAATTTACTAATTACGTTTTTAATTCCAAAAAGGCCAAATTTTCAAAAGTGGTCTCATATTGGCAATATGCAGTTAAACATACCTATCAGGTGATTATTTAGAAGTTAAACTCAGGACCCTTGGCCTACAATCTATAGTATATAATCAGTACAAGGCTTGGTTCTTTACTAGGATGTACTTTTCTAAAGAAAAACTGAAACAGAAGTATCAAAATAGATTATCTACCCAAATTCATATATATACAGAAAGTGGCATAAGTCACTTGTGTGTCATCTTTAGTGCAAACTTCTGATACGGAAAGAAAGTGCGCCAACTGGCATATTCATTTTCAATGTTTAAGGGCCTGATTTACAAAAGTGCTGAGCAACCACAAGTCTAGTTGAAGTTAGTGGAAGCTGTAAGTGTACAGCATCTCTGAAAATCAGGCCACAGATGTGTGTGCTACAGGATGATGAGCGATGAGCAATTTCACTCTTCACAAGGGCTTCAATATTGCTTGTTTTTAACAGATGATTCTGTCAGAGCGGGAGACTGAATCATGCAATAGTCACAGTGGAAACCAGCCCAGCAACTCTGATAGACATGACTTTATATACTTCAGTGACATGAGAACTGGTGTACTTCAGTTTGTCAGCTAACCAGACTACTAATATGGTAGGTTGGCAAAATGGATCAACATACTTGTAGGATAAACATACTGATTTTAAAGAGCGTATTTTGACTTTCTACTAACAAGTCAGTGGGAGCATCAGAGACGACAGTAAATAGGATAGCAAAACATATAAATAGGTTTTAAAACTAACCACAGTCTAAGGGTTCAAAATGCACTTGTAGACCTAGTGCTGGGGCTACACAATCCTGCAGCAGCCTGCTGAATATGTCAAGTAGTAAAATCACTTTGCTTTTCATAACCCTGGCAAAACAACTTTCTCAGCTCCCTGAGTCTGCAAATTGTTCTGTAAGCAGAACACCCACGATTCCGCACTAGTTCTGTACAGACCACTTGCAGTCTCAGCTTTTTCAGCCTCCAACCTGTGAGATCATCAGCAAGCAAACCACCCCCATGTGCAGAAAGAGAAGGAGGAAACCATTAGCAACAGAAAAACAGAGTCTTACAGACAGAGAACTGCAGCCACAGCGTAATGCTGATTTATTCAGTTCTTGGAGGTTTGAAGAGCAAAAGATTTGTGATTAAGACTCTTTTGTTATCTAGGTTAGTTAGAAAAACTGTTTTTGTATAGTGCAAAATTTCCATTAACCCCCACCTCCTCCCCCACATTTTCATGGTACAGTAACTCCCCACTTAATGTCCTCTCGCTTAACGTTGTTTCGATATTATGTCCCTGCTCCATTACTGAACATGCTCGTTTAAAGCTGTGCAATGCTCCCCTATAATGTCATTTGGCTGCCTGTTTTGTCCACGACTGGCGGCCCACCCCCTTCCCCCCCGTGCCTCCTGCCTGCCGGCGGACCCCATGGATCAGCGCCTTCCCCTTGCTCCCCCTGCCTCCTGCCCGTGGCAATCAGCTGGTTTGCGGCATTCAGGAGGGAGAGGGGATGGGGGAGGAGCTAGGACACAGCATGCAGAGAAAAGTGGGAGGAGGTGGAGCGGAGGCGGGTTAGAGAAGAGGCGGGTTAAAGGTGGGGGCTTAGAGGAAGGGGTGGAGGGGCGGGCCGAGGGTTGAGCTCCCCAGCAAAGTCAATGCCTGTGCTTGCACAGTATACCTGTATTAAACTGCTTGTTTAAAATTGTTTAAAATGTATATAATGCCTTTTGTCTGGCAAAAAAAAGTTTCCCTGAAACCTAACCCCCCCATTTATAGTAATTCTTATGGGGAAATTGGATTCGCTTAATATCGTTTCGCTTAAAGTCACATTTTTCAGGAACATAACTACAACATTAAGTGAGGAGTTACTGTAGATTATTTTGGGGGAAATAGTCAAACTTTGGGAAAAGTTCTAGAGTAGAAGAACTTGACCTTTTAAGAGTTCTCCTATTCCCTAAATGTTACTCTGCAGCATCTGCATTCTGTAATCAACTAGGAAAGCATATAACGACGCCTAGCTTCACTGAGAAGTCAAGCAAGGTCACTATGACAGTATGTTCTCTATTGACACTGTGTGGAAGCTGCAATAGTACACTTCATAAACATCTGGAGGGATCGCTCTGGAGACAATGAAGAACTCAGTAAGGAGGCATGAAAGATAAGTAAAAAAAAAAAAGACATGATGCTGTATCTCCCAGAATCTTTTCAGAGCTTCCATGTTGCAAGGTTCAGTCTCTGCATATGCATATCCACATGCAAAGGGCCCAGTTTCTGCATCCAGTGTGTTCTGTACACATGAGGCAGAGAGAAAAATGTGCTTGTGGTCTAAGGAAAGGTAGAACACAATACATAGACAACAGCAGTGAGATGCTGGCCCTACTGATCTCAATGGGAATTTTGAGATTATTTCAGTAGAGCCAGGAATTTACCCCAGAGCTGTTATGCTCTCACTGAAAAAACAACATGGGATGTGTGGAAACCAGATAATTAACGATGGGAATATGTAGCATACACCATCAGAAAAGGTAGCATAGTTAAGACACCTGTTGTTATGCCTTTTGGCTATTCTAAATATTCCTCCCAGAGAGCAGATTGCAAAAGTGCTCAGAGGAAGTCTAAGTAAAACTTCCCCAGCCCTACAGTGAACACAACAGCATGCATTCAAATTCATACAAGACCAAAAGGTACAACAAATTAGTGCTGGCAGATGAATGAGACAAATAGAGAACACAGCAATAGCACATGCTGATCATCTCAGCATCATCGTCACCTTAAGTCAGGACAGTAACAGGAAAAGTGAAGGTCTATGTAGACTTGTAGAGCCAAGGTCTAGGATAATGGTGATTTTGCTGGGTAGGCTGAACTCTGCAATGGGGGACACACATTGTGTACAGCAGCTGAGTAAGGGAACAGTTACCACCACAGTGCTGTCCCTGTATGGTGTTCAGGGGCACCATCTTCTCTATCAGCCTCCAGCTAGCATATGCCTAATGAATGTTAAGCCCCACCCACTGAAAATAATTACTTTTGGAACAGAGAAGGACCATTCCCTCTCTATTCTCACCTCCTATCCTGTAGCCTCCCAGTTGCTATGAAGAGGAGGGTTCTCTTTTACTCAGCTGCAACTCTAGCTCTCTCTCTGCCATTCTACTCCTTCCTCAACATTCTGGCTACTGAAATGGAAATATTTCCACTACTCTGCAACTCCCCTGTTTGTCATTTCTGAATCCATCTCACCAAACCTTTTTCATTTTCCAGATCTTCTCTACTGCCTGCTGGCTGTTGTGTCTGTTTTTTCCCCAGCTACAGCAGAAAACAAAAAGTGACTTGATTATTGTCAGCTTCATTACTGCTCAGAAAAGTCTGAAAAAACAATAGTTAAAATTGACAGGTTTTCACTCTGAGGCGGCTAGCCAGTTCACCTTGCTTACACTGTTCTCCTACAAGCCCTTTCTTAAAACATCTCATCAAGGCCCTTAAACCCTTGCCCATCCACTCTCAACTCTCCTAACTTACTGAAAAACATGTGCACAAACACACAAAAATACATAATGAAACTAACAAGATGTGGTTAACTTCACCATTCCTTCATGTTCCATTATTCCCCTTCTTGACAATCCTTTGGTTGTATGTCTTCTTGTCAAACTGTAAGCTCTTTGGAGTAGGGACTATAGCTGACTGCAAATAACCTAGCACACTGATGGCACTATACAAGTAAGTTTAATATTATTTATTACTGTAATAGAGTAGCTGGCCCATTAGATGAAACTGGGCTCAGCTCTCCTGTTTCAGTCCAGATGATCCCAGCCAATTCAAAGCGTGGGGCAGCACCTGGGGGATCTATAAAAGGTCAGTCAAGAGTCAAACCAGAACTGAATCAGATAGGAGAAGAGAGTGGCCAGAGACAGAAGGTGGCTCCTGGGAGATGGCTGAAGGTAGGAGAGAAGCAAGAGGAGTTTGCCAGCTGGTGTCCCTGAGCCAGGACTGGAGAGGGCTGAAGTTAGGGGGAGCAGCAGAGGGAAGTTCCTGCTAGCTCTAAGATGGAGAGCTGGAGACAAGGGCCAGAGAGGACTGAATGAAGGGGGAGCAGAGGAGGGGCTTACCCGCTGATATCTCCTTGGTCTCTTGCTGGAGAACTGGACCCAGAGAAACAGTGAGAGGGCCAGGGGAACGGAGGATTGCTCCCCTGGTAAGGATGCTCCCAGCACAGAGGCTGCGAGACTTCCCACTGGGAAAGGCAGGCTTGCGCACTAGAAGGAAGGGTTGGAGTGGTCAGCCTGGCAAAGGGATGGAAAAGGACAGATAGGAGCCTAAGCTGTGATGGAAGTCACTGGGGTACAGTGAGAACAAGGACCCTTTGCACGGGGTGATATGAACTATGTTTTGGGACTTTTGTTGAAGACTATTTGCACAAGATTTTTGTAATAAACTGGTTCCCAGGAGCAGTACTGGTTAAGTAGGAGCCTGAAGTGGAGTCCTTTGAATTAGTCAAGAGGGAATGTAAGGCGAGGGGCTGCCCTGAGGCCACAAGGTGGTGCCCGGGAGGAAACCACTCATTTACAATTACTATTAATTTTTATTACGACAGTGTTTCTAGGGCATGGGAAGACAATAAAAGGATTAAGGCTGGTCCTTGGAAAAGATGACAGC